GCCCATACCAGAACCATTAGGGAATTGCAGGAGCAAGCAACCCACCCCGCGGGGGGAGGAGGGAGGAAATTTATACGAAAGTTTCGTGAAGGAAAGTCCTCCAAACTCGAGAAAGCTGTATCACAGCAGTAGCACGGATAGGAGGTCATGCTCTCAAAGGTAGAGATAGACCTTAAAACTATTTGGTTGTATTAGTAAGGTTTCAATCCGTGCAATAGATCAAGCAATTCATGTTCAGTATTTCATCTTCATCTTTATTAGCCAGAAAACAATAGCAAACAACTCTTGAAAACAACGGTCACAAAAAATTTCCATCAATTACCAAATATACATCATTTACATATCTACATGAGATCTCCAAAACATTAAAGGCACTAAACAACCGGATTAATTATGCTTTGACCTTCTTCGCCGTCTTGGGCTTTGACGCCTTCGCCTTCTTGGGGGTCTTCGGCTTGGCGGCATCCTTGGCCGCCACAGGCTTCTTGGCGGTCTTGGCCTTGGGAGCCTTAGCCTTCTTCGGAGTCTTCGCCTTCTTCTCTGCCTTGGGCTTCTTCGCTGCAGCGGCCTTCTTGGGGGTCTTCGGCTTCTTAGGGCTAGCGGTGGCTGGTTTCTTGGTGGCAGTCTGTAACGATATCGCAATTAGGCAACGTTCTACTAATAACTAGACCAACCGAAAGTTACAATAGACGAATACCTAACCTTCTTGGCAGCTGGCTTTTTGGCGGTCTTGGGTGCAGCAGATTTCTTCTCTCCCAGTCGGAAGCTTCCATTAGCACCGGCTCCCTTGACTTGCTTCAGTTCTCCGCTGAGGACGGCTCTCTTCAGGGCAAGGCGCAGTTGATTGTTCACCTACAACTATCACTATTTACCAAGTACAAAACACATTCAGGATCTTCATGTATGAAAATGTCTACTCACCTTGGCAACATTGTCACCGAGCTTGTAGTGGGCCAGAATGTACTTGAGAATAGCAGCCTTGGACGAGCCAGACCTGTCCTTCAGCTCAGTGATTGACTTCTTGATCATGGCGGCGTAAGTCGGATGAGACGGAGTCTTCTTCGCAGACTTTGGCTTGGAGGCCTTGGAAGCCTTGGAGGCCTTTGTTGGTGCATCCGGAGCTGACATGGCGACTCGAGATCGGTCCTTTGCAGAGTGGCGTCGCCCACTATTTATATAGCGCGCTGGGTTCCCCCGTCGGGCCTCCGCCTCCAGTGACCTCGCCGCGGACCTAAATTGTGTGGCGCCGTGTCGAGTGCGGCGTGGAAAAGCTCTTATAAATTGGACTGTTCGCAACCAAACAACTCGAAATTTTGCGAACATAAAGAAAAAACATCCATCTAATGTACGGTCATGCATTGTTGCTGTAATCCTATCCGAAGTAATAATTAGTGGTGTGTAAATGGCACCGCGATGAATTACGACCTAGTGTGACCCCTTTTTGCAAAGATTAATCTTTGTAACTAAGCAATCCTCGAGCAAATTTCTCACATATTTTCAGAGGAGCAATGTTTCTACATGATAATTCGCAAAATACAATATCTTTTGGAAGCTCTGCGAGTTGCATGCTTTGCATGAGTGTGCGCCTCATAACACCAATAACTCGATTGGAGCATCACTAAACCAGTTACCACCGAAGGAAATATACCTTTTTGCATTCTGTAGCATGCACCAGTAACGATTCCGATGTTTTATGCAAAGTTTACTTCAAATGCGGCCGGAACCAGTACTTTTGGCTGGACTACGCTGTCCTTCTCACTGCTTTTCGTCAATCACGTAGCTTGGGGTGCACAACACTAGTCGTAGTAGCTCCTGGGATCTCTGTCTATGGATTCTCACTTCACCTGAACATTCTCCTTACACTAATGAATGAAACAAGCGCAACCTAGCTAAACCCCAGGAAAAAAAACCACCTAGTGTGAGAGATTTTTAGCCAGTGAGCCAACGGTGCTGAAGGAATCTAAGACAAGATCATGGGGTCGAGTTGAAGGAGTGAGCTCAGAAGCTTATTGAGTACATTGGTCCTGTGTCGATCAGCACAGAACTATGTAGTAATAGGGTTTTTATTTCAAAAACATTTTCGGCATAATAATTTTGTACTACATTAATGGGCCGCCGAATCACATACTTCCTGACCTCCGAGAGTGGGGCTCACCGTCCGGAATAAGGCAGCTGTTTTTGGGTGGAAACAACCAATCACGAGCAGCATAGTAAATGATACATCACTTTCTAGTATACGCCATGCATTCAAGCTCCGTTTGACAAAGCAATAGCTTTCGGATAATATCCATCACCATGACTTGGTTTTCGTCAGAGATGTCAAGTCTATAGGTGTTGAATATGGTAGCGTCTTCACCTGCGACCTCTTCACCTTCTTCTATTACCTTTTTGAGTTTTGCTTAGATTGACACATTTTAGACGTTTAGCGCTAAGGCTGGAAGGTTTATCTCAGTCAAGCAGCAATGAGTCAAAGTTTATAATACATTTCCTGGCTTCAGCTCACTGGCCTTAATCCTGAGCTGTCGCAGAGTCTGTTGGACATTGTTGCCGCTTTGTCCTGTCCGAGGCATCTTCTGCTGGCTCAGCGAATTGACTAACGTCCACGTTCCTCAAACTTTCCAGTCGCCTATAAGTACAGGTATACCTCGGCGTCATGGCTTCGGTTAAGTAGGCGGTTAATTGGTTTGGTTTGTGCCCACGGACCAAAAATCGCTGTCGTAGAACATCGTGAGGCTTACACCGTCATATACCCTTTACCATCGGGAGCTTGCACACCTCCTTTCATAGAATCAAGTGTCTCTGTTTTTTACGCGTCACATTTAGCCTAATTTTCACTTCCTGGTTCACCCCGTTCACTGCCTCATCTAGACCACTTTCCTGGTATAAGAACTCTTCTACTTCCTCGATTTTACCGTTGCAATCCATGACCTGATTACCTTCGGCCGGAATTCGTTATTTGCTGTCGCTTCCTGCCCTTATTGTACGTTTTCCTTGTGCTTAACCCTGCTCTTCGATTCCAGCGCCATGCCATCGGTGTAAGGGGTGATTATAATGACCCCTCTATGGGCCGCATCATCATCTCGTCCGGAGCACAAGAAAGGGATAGAAGCCGGGAGCTTATCGTCGGCGTACACCAACTACGATGCCTACTCTTGGGCAGTCCACAAGGTGAGTTTAGCTGGCTCAGCCTTACAGAACATTTCCATCGTCACGTGGTCAAGTGTTTCGGAAGGTTCTGGGTCCGATTTGCCACTTTTGACTATACCTGTACAGTACTGTATCATCATAAAGACAGCGTTCATTGTGGACCATGAAGGCCTAAAGCCAAACTGTTTTGTCAGAACGAGACCAGTCGTCCCAATCCTGCGCCTGCCCAACGGTACGGCTTGTTGTGCACGGTAAACATCTCCCACGGTAACTACTATATTAGTTGTCCGACAAGTAATGTCGTTTTTCATCAGATGAAAATTCCCCT